CCTTGCTTAGTTATCCATCTTTCTTTTTATCAGATGCTTGTCTTCCTCTTATGCGTTTCTTGTGTTGCTACTGAATATACCCCAAAGGGTTTGTAGTAGCTCAGTCCATCTTTTGTACGTTCCTTGGGCTTTATATTACCTTTCACAAGTCACAGGCAGTAAGTAATGTGGGAAGCCATGGCAAGGCGTTAACCCTTGGCTAACACTCATCCTGGGCTCTCTATCTACTATTCTTTCTGCTTACCTTCCATGATTCACTTGCCAGTTCTCAGAACTTCAAACAAGGCCTCATAGCAACCCACCTTAGTAATCCATTCTCCAGATCTTTAGATTTAGCCAACATCCTGCTAGGTAGATGTTTTTAGAACACCCAGTAATGGCAAGGCTTTGTGAGAACAACAGGTATAACTTAGTTAGACCCCACAGCTGCAGCTAGCTTCCTCCACCTTCAAAGCCCTCTTTCCTTTCCTACCCCTCCCCATATCCTGTTTTCAGAGTATATAACCTGTGTGAACAATAAAAATTTTGCCAGCATGATCAGACTTCTTGACATGCTGTGCCTTTTTATTTTCTCGTGCATCTCAGTCCTCTCCACAGGGTCTAAGGGTCCCACTTGATTGTCCAGCTAGACTGGACAAGTAAAGGGACCAGGAAGGATGATACCGCGGTGACATGGGTAGTTGGGGTTAGTTGGTATACTATGGGACTTTTTAACCTTTTCAACTCATAACCATTTCACATTCATAATTTTTTTTACATGGGTCTGAGTGTCAAGGTCTATAAAATAGCTATACAGAACAAATACTTAATGATAATGAAACATAAAGACATTTATTTTAAGATAGTTTTTTTGTACACCTATAATTTTAGCATTTAGTAAAGATGAAGGGCAAATTCACACTGAGATAGATATTTGCATCACTAGGTAGATACATGTGTTTCTGTTTAAAGTATTAAATCTTGGCTATATATTTCATTAAGGATTTTTAGTATTTCTCAGAGTTGATGGATGCTTTTATTTTATAATGAAATAAATTTATGTGCTCTTTGCATAAGCACATAGTACAAAATAGTGTTTAGCGCTATTATAGAAATCATTAGAAATTCTGCTACAACCAAAATTAATTCAATGATATTTTCTGAAACTCAAGTCATTGGCTCAAACAGCGATTTTTAAAATCAAACATTATAATACAATGCAACCTAATTGTATACTAATTTGATACATGCTGAGGAATACTGGTAAGAAAATATTAAAAGTCTTTGTTTTCCACCATCAAACCATTATATTATATTTCTCTATGAGAAGAAAACTGTATAATAAAACAATGCAATTAATAACATGCAATGTGTTTGAATTTTGACTGATGTGTTTGGTGGTTTGAGAGAAATTCGCCCTGCAAGTTTATATATTTGAATGCATGGTCTTTAGTTAGTGGAATGGTTTGGGAAGGATTAGGAGGTGTGGCCTTGCCAGAGGAAATATGTCACGGGTGTAGCTTTGATGTTTCAAAAGACTTGTGCTCTCTTTTTATTTCTGCCTTGTGGTTGTGGTTCAAACGGTGGGATCTCTGCAGTTCTTTCAGATAGACACCATGAACTCTAATTGGTTGGTGTTGCATTCTGTGATGATGAAATGTCAGAACCAGGCTGCCTTGAAGTTATATAGTACAATATGGGCATTGGCTGCCAGAAACACCTTGGATTCATTGCTCATTTGATTTTGAATTGTGTTTTAGTGGTCATATGGTCAGCAACCTTCTCTGTTGCCAATTATTTTATACTTCCCATATTTATTTACACAACCTCATGTGGGTTGTGTCCCACAGTTTGAGATGTTATGGTTTAGAAAACATTTTCAGAGAAGGAAGAAACAACTTACTCTTAAATTTATGGCTCATGAAATACAACTTGTGACATGTATACAAGGGATGAGAGCCTGTATCAACTATTCTTCAGGTTCCCCAGCTCTTCACCCTTTTATTTCTCTATTATTTATTTTTGTTTTGCAATCTGTTGGTATATGCTTAGTAGCCCTGTCTTAGTTAGGCTTACTAATGGTGTGATAAAAACACTCTGACCAAAACAACTTAGGAGAAAAAGGTGTATTTTGCTGAGGCTTCCATATTATTGTTCATCACTGAAAGAAGTCAGAAAAGAAAATCAAACAAGGCAGGAACCTGGAGAAAGGAGATGACACAGCTAGATCTTATAGGGGTATATTCTCAACTGAGGCCCCCTCCTCTCTGATGACACTGTGTCAGTTGATATAAAACTAGTCAGCACAAATCCCAAAGCTGCCACATGCCCAAACCACACATGCTTGCATTTTTGTTTCAGATTTATAAAGCCTCAAGTTGAATTTCACATAGCTACCTTTGCAATGTTCACCAATAATTTTTTTGTAAAAAGAGTGTCTGCCAATTCTGAACTCTGCAGATGCTTAACATTATATGACCATAAGAATATCACACCGAAAAGATTAAGGAATGTAACATTTTGGAATGAAGTAGTTGTAAATAGACTTTTCTTTAAAAAAAAAAAAACCATTTTATTTTGTTAAAGATGTATGGGAATTTCATGCTCTATTTATTCTCCTAAAATGAGTTTATTATTGACAATATTCAGGTTATTTAACCTTACTAGTTTCCCTGATGACTTCTGTGGGTCTTTATGGGAATGCCAGATATTTATTTCCATCAGGTCCAGGCAGTTGGCCACCAGAATACTTAAAATGCATGATGAAAGGAACAGATGCCCTTGTTAGTGGTAATGGGAAATGTTTTGAGAAGAAAGACAAATGAGTAGAATTACCAAGACATGAACTCCTTCTTTATTACCAACCAATCTCATTAGCTTTCCCTTTGTAAACATCACATGACACCAAGAACCACCATGCTAGGGATAATTTCAATAAGTGATCAAGTGAAATAGTGTCAGCTTAGTGAACTCACAGAAGCCCCTTCATCCAAATAATGGTCTTTTAGATAGCCTGTTCTTCAGTTTTGTTTTCAGCCCAGGTTTAAAAGTACCTTTGTTTTTGCCTCATTCCTTTTATGTGTTTTTGAGTATGTGGGAGGGAAATCCCTTTTAATTATTGAAGAATAAAACTAACAGGGCTGCTATATCATCATATAAGTGAAAGGAAAGTGAATGGCCATTGTAAGTAAGCCAGAGCATAGTAGACATTAGAGAAAACCAGTGTCATGGTGTTTGGATAGTCTTTGCCTAGTTGTACCCATTTTAGATTTACAAATGACATTAGTAAGATCCCTTCTAAGGGTACTCAAGGGTGTCCCTGGCCAGTTAGTTAGTATGGCCAAAGACAAGGCCATGAAAGACAGTTCTTCACCCAGGTAGTAGTGGTGAAGACCTATGTTAAGGAGTAAAACAAAATTGTCAGTGGCCTGTCACCTAGTGACTTGCATAAGAGGCTTTACTTTCTAATTAAAGCCCCAATCTTAAAAGTGATGAAATGTTCATCAGTTTCAGTAAATTTCAGGTTTGCTAACTCAAAGGGAATCTTGTACAAATCTGTAAATCAAACATCTCACCCACTCACTGTTTTCCTTAAGAGTCATAAGAGGGAGTCTTAAGAGTCATGCACTTGACCTTGTTATTTTTGCCTCTTAGATATTGCCTAAGTGAAATTAGAAATATCCCCAACGGGATCAAGTGTTCTCTGAAGAGAAGGAACAGAAACACTAGTGAGAAACTCCTCATGGCTAAGATCTTACATTTAGTTGAAGGAAAAAAACAAATTTTAGCTGTCTGAGTGTGTAGAAAATAAGACCTATAATCCAAGAGTGACGTAAGAATTGGAAGTATATGAACATTAAGAACGCTGCTGGGGTCACTGTATAGCAGAGGCCACTATAGAGATTGACAACTATTACAATCAAAGAACAACTGATCTTGGGGTTCCCAGCTCTAGTGGACACATCTACATCACAACCTTTTCAGTCAAGACTCAGGGAACATCAAGAAAGAAGGGGACAGAAAGGCTATAAGAGCCAGAGGACCAGGAAGCCTTCTGTGAGATTGGTGTCCCCTAGAAAGGACATGGAAGTTGTTGTACCTATGAAACCTTAACAGTACAGTTGCCTAAGCAAGACCTGAACAAAGACAATATCTATAGACATGGTTACATGGAAGGAGGAAATCTCATGGGGCTAAAGCTCTAGATAAAGAACTACAGGCAGCTAAGAACTACTGAAGTAGGGGGAATCAATCATCCCCAAGAACCCATAATAGGCTATCCAATACCAAGTGATCATTCCTGAAGTCATATATATATATATATATGACTCAGCTAAGTATTTTTACAAAATCTAGCAATATAAAAAAAAGAGGTCATGAATTTGAGAAGGAGCAAAGAGGACGGAATGGTTTGAAGGGAGGAAAGGAAGGGAGAAATTTTATAATCATAGTTTAATTAAAACATTATTAAAACTAAGGAAGAAGACAGCTGAAGAATGAGCATCAGATGGGTCAGTAGAAGAAAATCCATGGGAGGAAGTGTGAACGGGGTCTGTGGCTGCTGCCATGCATGGATGCTGAGACTCCCACTACCTGTAGAGAGCTGGTCATCATCTACTAGCCTGCATAGTTTTGTGCTCATTATGTGAAACACAGAAACTTTTTCAGAGCATTAAGTTGCTAGTAAAACCTCCCATAAACAACTCAGTGAACAACTGTGTGTCTTTCCATCCATCACAGGCTAAATCATGCTTCCAGGCAATCTTAATGTTATAGCTCAAGACAAGGCAGCAAAGCACCTGTGTTTTCTCCCTCATCCGTATACATGTGGCCTATGGTTATTTACTATGCACAAAACAGGAGTAGAGCATTTATAGCATCTGCCAATGGTTTATTTCTTCTATCAAAATATACAAAAACCCAGCGTTTCAACATCTCTTGCCTGTGTTCTACATCCACTGGGTGAATTTTGGTGTGGCAGCAAGACTCAAGAAAGATGCAAGTTTCTGGGCAGAACTCACCCTGGGGTCTCTTTCCAGCTGCCGCTTGTGGTGTAGGCTTCGTCTTCTTTTGGCCTTTGCAAGGCCATTGTGATAAAAGTGATACAGGCCTTCTGCAAAGGGGAGCTGTGGAAAGCCAAACAGACAGGAAGATAGTTAGTTTCTGAGTTGGTACCAGAATAGGGACATGGAAGCAGGAACTGTATGAGGATACAGTTCAAGCCTCCAAGAGTTCTAATCTCTGCCCCTTTGCTTTCCTCACTTTGCTTATCTGGTACCCATTTCTTCCCACTCCTTCACATGCCCTTTATTCCTGCTTCTAGGTTGTAGCTTTTACAAACCTGCCTTCACACTCATATCAACTTCTCTAATCTCTTCTCTCAGACAAGTGTTTATACACTGTGTGGTACCCAGTTGCTCCAGGGCTGTGCTGTGGCAAAGTACTCTCTTCTAGACCAATTACCTAATCTTTCTTAGGGGTTTCCTTGTGACTTTTGGGTGCCTCTTATTGGGTTGGGAACAGTATGGTCACTGAAATCTGAAAAAAGCCTGCTGGGTGCCAGGCTAGATTTCACTCTGTCTTTCTATTCTAAAGATGCCTGGAATCAAGTGTGAGTGCCAAGATCAGAGACAGAAGCCACAGCAAGGAAAGCTTGTCTTTCTCTAAGAGTCATAAAGGGGCTAGCATGTACTGCCATTTGTTCTATGGTCCCAGGTATCTTAGGGGAAGAAGCTTGATCTAAACTACTGGACTCTTGAATGTAGCCATGTCTTTTATCTTCTAACAGGGTGGCCTTGGACAAGTTGTTGCTCACTTCTAGGCCTTTCTTTCCTTTCTTCCTTCCTTCCTTCCTCCCTTCCTCCCTCCATCCCTCCCTCCCCCTCTCTCTTTCTTTCTTTCTTTCTGTTTTGCACATGCACACACACACACACACACACACACACATGTATATGTTCTTCCACATGCCTTCATAAATTGTTTGCAGTGCTTGTCATGAACTATTAGCTTAGCCGAATGCCTCACAGTAAGGAAAGTAATGTACATATGTACATTTTTATGGGAGAGAGGGCACATGGTTTTCATGAGATTTTCAACGGGGTTCTCTTATTAATATGTTTCAGTATTCAGTGTATTTGATCCTGAAGTGTAGAACTGTGTTCCAACCAAGTGCTTGGAAGAAAAGGAAACATGATGTGAATGCTTTAAAAGAAGTGTTTCAAAATTAAATAGGGCCTATTTGAGAAATTTTAGATTAAGTAGGGTTTCAGCATGGCATAAATATTTCTTAAGCAACTGTCAGCATTATAAAAGAAACATAAGTATCAGGAACATACAAACATAATACATAAAAAGAACCAAAGTAAAAACAATCCACCTTTTCTTTTTCAGTAGTATTAGGCATAAGGGATGATCTTCTTTTCTCCCTTCTAAAGCAACCCAATTTCAAGAGCAAATTATTATTTTCTTAAAATAAATCAGTTGATTTTGGCTACACACATCACATGGATTATGTATTATTATATAAAATGGGGTTTCCATCGTCCTTTCACAGTCTCTTGCATACTCTCTTGCCTCTCTGTTGGTAGCAGTTGCTATGATAGAAACACCGTGAAGTAGCTAGTATCTCCATTGCTGATATATACTTAGACATTTCTTTCTTGTTTAATAGTTTAAGATTCTGCTGTGCTTCGGGAGAGGGAGACCTTCAGAAATGAGGCAAGGATCTCCAAAATTCACTTTCAGAAAAGCAACAACACTGGAAAACTGCCAAATGACCATTTCATAAGTCTGAAAATCAACAGGAAGCTTGCAGCCTCGCAAGGAACATTTAATCAAGCAGGACAATATTCTGCTAATAATAACCAAAAGACATGTGGTTTTTTTTAAACTTTCCCTGTCTATGCACTGATGCCAGATTCTTCAGTTTCTTTGAAAGCAGATTAGCTTCCCAATCATTTCAATCATAGTATCTGTGTAAAATAACAACTTAGCAGACACTGGAGGGTGTGCCCAGGATTGGAGTTATTCAGGAAGCCCCATCCCAGATAACTGTAAGACATCCAGAAAGTCCCATTTATAGGGCTAAAGTTTATTATGTGTCTCAGACATTGTTCACCAAGGAAGGCTTTATCTTTGGAGCATTTTACAAAGACCATCCAATGCAGTTTCTTAAGGCTGCAGGTGCTTAGGTTAGCAATGTTAACTGTGGTCAATGAGTAACTGTTCCAATAGCTTCAAATAAAGATAAGAAGAGTGGGATATTTACAGGACTTTTACTATTTACAATGTTTGTAGAGACTTAGAATGTGACACATACCAGAGAATTCTTCCCCAAATCAGAAAATACCTAAAAGGATCTCAAATGCTCATTTCTGATTGATCTTGGAACTCTATGAAAATAGAAAATAAAAAAGTCAAGACAGGGTCACAAACTTCGCCTGAGTATCAAAGGTGTAGCCTAAGATATAGTCAAAGCAAAGGATAAGAAAACCTATCTTTAAAGAAATACCAGTCCAATCTTTAACTGATCACCAGGCTAAACAAGAAGAGACTCAGTAGAACACTCAAAAAGTCACAGATTTTGGGGAATTAGTTTAGGGAACACAGTAAATAAACAAATAAATGAATAAATAAACAGGATAACAGTAAAATCCAGAACATCAACATCAACACAGAGAGTGCTGTGAGCCTCACTTTCAGATTTCCTACATGGCTCTTCTTAAAATGTCAGTGTTCAGTAAAAGTATCATGAAGTATATAAAGAAAGGGATACATGGTCTATACATGGGAAGAGGGGTAGGTAAATAGGAATCCTCTGAGCAAGTCTAGGTTTTGGACTCACTAGACTGATTTTAAGTTGGCCATTTAAATACATTCAAACAGCTAAAAGGGACATCTTGTCTACAGAGCAACAGCAAAGCTTGACAGTGATTGATCACCAAATGGACAATATGAACAGATAGAAATAAAAAAGGGAGAAATTATGGGGTAGAAAATATAATAATGGAATGAAAAATAACCTTAGAGGACCTTAATAGCACATTTAGGTTGACAGAAATAATCAATAAATATAAATACAGTCCAGTTGAGATGACCTACTTTGAGTAATACATAAGAAATTAAGTAAAATGAGCAAAACACTTTACTCATAGTAGATGTCTCTAAAGAAACGTTTACTCATAGTAGATGTCTCTAAAGAAGAGGACAGAAGTAGACAGGAGGCAGCAGTGTCTGGAAACCTTCATGATTTTAGGAATAACATTAATATTCTTAACTAAGAAGCACAGAAAGATCAGAATAGGATAAAGTGAGAATTTGCATACTATTTGCACATGTATATATGCAAATGTGAGACTCACCTGAACACTGAGCCAAAAATGTATGCAAGATGTTCAGTAAGATTCAAAGCTGACTTTTTTGGGGGGGCAGGGAGGGACTTCAGTAGTAGAGTAGTAGAGTAGTAGAATATATAAAGCTTTAAGTTTATTTCCAGTGGTGAATACAGCCCCCACCCCCACCCTGAAACTAAAACACACAAAGCCACCTGATTGCCTACTGGAAGCCATGAAGATGACAGAGCAGATGGATATCTTATTCTTGATACCAAAAGAAAATTCATTAACTAACAATTCTGTATTTGACAAGACTAATCTCTAAAAATAAAGAGGATTCATACAGTCCCAGAAAAACAAGGTATGAGACAGTTTCTCACTAAGAATTACTAACTTCAGCTAAAATGAAAGAATCCACGGGAAGAAATGAATAATTGCAGTGCTGGCAAACACACAGGAAAGTAGAAAGGGCAAGGTTGTCTCCCAGATGTTTCTGTCTTGAAGGTTCCTATCTGGTAGAAGGTCTTGCAAATGACAGGATTTGAAGCCTAGCTGGAAGAATTAGCTCACTGCAGGACAATGGGAGTGGGTGTCGTCTACCTCTGCCCTGTCCCCTGTATCTTCTGTCTGGCTTCCTCTTCCACTGTGTGGTGATATTCTCATGGATTCATTCCTGTGTACTGACTCATGTATTTGCTACCCTGTGCTGATATTTTCATGGATTTACCCCTGTGTGCTCTTGTTGTCTCATGGTTTTAGAATCACCAGTGGAAAGCTGACTAACACTGAGATTATAAATGAATTTTTGCTTGTAACAGTCTTTTTTCTATACTTATTTGAATGATGAGTCTATAAAGCAATAATTATAAAAGTATGTTTACTGGCTTTTATAATGTATAACAATGAAATTTGTGTAACAAACAGCATTAAAATGGAGGAAGAAAAATAGCAAAGGTGAAGCCACACTGCTCTATACTGGCCATTGTAGCTTTAAATTAGAGACAGGTTATTATATATATTATTTTTAATTTCCAAAGAATCAATTAAAACAAAAATCACAAAATAAGCATTGTACCTTAAGATGTTACAACAGATAATATTTTTGTTTTTAATTCTCTTTTATTACCAACTACTTTTGTAATTTTATATAATAGTTTATTATAAAATAGCATGGTACTTAGGATAGTACCCTGGATAACATTTAACACAAAAAGGCAGTTATGAAAGAATTGAGAAACAAAGGTATATAAGATTGGTCTGGATGAGTGTGTCCTAAAGATTTCTAGATTGGTTTTATTGGAAAGTGATAGATACTTTGGTATTAGGGATTGGTAGAGGGTCCTTAGGTTACTTGTGCAGTTTCCTAAAGGACCTTCAGTGCATTATTTGTCTCTCATGGCTTGCAGTATAGCCACTTGCTCTGTTGTTGGCTCTTACTACTGCCAAATAGAGGTCATTATCAATGAGTCCACCTGATTTAAGGCCTTGAGACTGAAGGTCCACGGGCCAAAGCAAACCTATTTGCACACCTATTTTTACTTCATATTTAGCCTTTTTCTAGTATTTTATTAGTAATACAAAAGTGGATATATAGATATGTAGAAGATAAATAGAAAGATGCATATGTAAATCTTATCAGTATTAATTAAAAAGTTTCAGAATTTCATTCAAAAGTTATAGTTGACAGAATCGATAAGAGAAACAAAGAACTTGTGACTGCATCGTATGCTGTTCACTAGAAGCACATTTCAGATCCAATACACAGATAGGTTGAAAGTTAAAGAACATGAAAA